CTCTTTTTGACATGATCGAAAGTTCACTTTAATTTTCATAAAATTGCAATAATAATAACAGCCTGCAAAAAATAATAAGCTGAATCAAATCAGAACAATGCAATTTACTATATTAACTGAAATTATTTGGAATCAGTAAAGTATAATTTTAGCCTAGCTTAACAATGTCTGCTATACATTATTAGCTATGTATCATGAGACTGGCAAACGAAAGACAGGTTGTTCCGTCAAATTTTGTCTTGCTTCTATCACGCACTGAGACAATTAAGCCTAAATTGTATTAATTTAGTTATCCATTATACTTACGTCTATTTCTTGCACATGCTTAAGGCTTATCTGAGTCCTGAATAAATAAATTCCCCCATGTACATGAGCTTACTGAGGGCAGGCGCTAGATAGTTTGCCACCTGATACAGTCTCTGCGGTTCCTAAAATCTGCTACCAAAGGCCTCCCTAAGTTCTAGCCCACCAGCGGCCGAGTGGTAAAGTCGCTGAACACTGGTAGTTCGGTCCGATGTTCGAATCCCGCGAACGGGCTGGCTGCATGGGTGTTTTCGTGGTTTTCCCCATGTGTAACGTGTATACGAGCCAGTTTCCCTTAGAAAGTCCTCCACGAAGGCATTCCTCCCCTTAAGCAGATAGCCCTAGTGTGCTGTGCCATAGTTAAATACACCAACCCTAAGTTCTAAATTTTTCCCGCCGCTTAATTTTGGGTCCCAGTGTTTCCCTAAATTCTAAAAATTTTATCATCTCTTAATTTTGTTACTCGGTGCTTCTCTAAATTCCAAAAATTTTGTCTTCCCTAAATTCTGCCGCTTGGTGTGGCCATACAAGTTCTGTCGCTGGTTCTGGGTTTATGTGAATAAAAAATCGTTTTTTCTTAATTTAAACAGCACTAAATGTAATCTTTCGGCCTATGAGTATCATTAACAAAATCTATTTCTAGTATATGGAAAAAAATTTTTGTTAAATTTTTCTCGCCAATGTTTAGCACATTTAACTTAAATCTGTAATCATTGCCAAGCATGATGTCAACATAAAAGGTTTCCATACTCTTGATTATTCAATTACTGATAGAAAAAAAAAATTGTTTAGACATCACTGCATGCATGAGTCATTACTCAAATTGTCATGTGTTGATAAGCGTGGTGATGAAAGTAAATTTTAATAAATAATGATTCACCAGGTTGGCATCAAGTATAGAAAGTATTAGTAGGTGTAAAATCATTGATGCTTCTGTGCAGAATGTTTTGGTTTGAGATGTATGCCAAGCAGATACGCGGCTACGGAGCCAAATTATTGATCATACAAATTTATGCTAAAATGTTTCGTCAATAACGAGGTATTTTATTTAGTGGTGAAGTGAAACTAAGAATGGGGATTCTCCAGATGTTTTATTATGGAGATCACATGTAATGTAATGTGTAAAGCATAAAAAAAAAATAGGTTGGTGGCTTTAAGGCCCGGATTTTAGATCATTCTGGATCTTGAACTTTGTCCTGTACTTCTTTCTGAGACAACATTTCTGTTGGAAAAGCATTAATTTAAAGACATTGCAACCAAATTACTAACTGGGAAAAAGTGTGATAGTGTATCATTATTTTAATGCAATTTATATGCGACTCCTAAATGGATGCTTCTCACATTTGTTCTGAGAGTAAAGTCATTTTTTAAGGTTCACAATTTTGATTATGTTTGAGGGATAATTTTACAAATTTGAGACTTCTCCTTCTCCAAATTACTTGGGAAAAATTTTTTATAGGAAGCCTGCATAAAAATTTTAATCTCATACAGATTTACTAAAATGTAGTGTAAGTTATCATAAGTTCAAAGACTACCATATTTTATACATTTCTTAAACTAGAACCATGAACTATTGTCCAATTACTCAAGAGAGATTTTATTGTGTCTCTTTTTTTAATACCCTGCATCTACACTAAACTGCAAAATTTATGATTTTTAATTTTTCTGCATATAACAGTAATTTCTTGCTATTTATTTTTTAATTCAAATTAAAAATATATTAAATATTATTTCAACTAAGTTTCAAACATACACCATAATTTAGCTTTAGCATCTTAAGCTCATGAGCAAGAATTTCATTTCGATTTAAAAGTATTTCCTAGTTAGACAGTGAAATACTATTAGTTTTAATGCTACTAACTCTGAAATAGCTAAGTAGGCTATATCTTATGTTCCTGAGTATAAAATGCACGAAAGTTTATTTTTTCAAATTATTTTGTTTTTATAGCATTACTCACATTGTAACTTAATCTAAGCTGTGATAGGAATTGAGTTTTAAATTGAATTTTTGGAGCGCCTTTTTTTTTTTTTTTTTTTTTTTTTTTTTTTTTTTTTTTGATTGACTAAATCTGCAACTGTGATGTTAGGATCATGTTTGGCTTTTTAGCACTTAATATGTGAGTAGCTAAAATATTGTCATTTGGCAAACAGCTATTTCAGTAATAATGAATAAATCTTTTATGTCATTAATCTCACTCAGATGACTACTTTATTCAATTTAAAGTAAAATATATAAATTATTTATTTTTAAATGTCTTTGGATGCCAATTATTAGTCTAGATTCATTATTTCAACCCAAATTATTAGAATTTTATTCATATGTTAGTATGTCAATGAAACATAATTTCTTCTTTAATTTGACTTCACTGAAAAATTGCTGAATGATCATTATCAATCTCAGTGTAACAGTTATGGAAAACAAAATGAAGTTTGTGACTTTTAAAAGCCTGAAATTTTACATAGCGCAGTTAAAAAAAAACATACCCTTCATGTTGCTAATTTTAAAATGTGCATCTTCATTAATTGCTTTTCCGTTAAGTTCATTTTATATAGCTTTTTTCTTTCTAGGATGCCATCTTCAACTATACAAGACCAAAAACAAAATTTGCTTCGACGAAAAAAGGAAAGAAAAAAAGAAATTGCTTAATTTAGTATAAAATGATAGAAATCATACTGTGATTGAGTGAAACACAGACAATGTAATATAAAAAATAAACACGGAATGTGAAATTTAATCACTAATCACATTTCTGCTATGTAAAATTTTAAAACAATTATTAATTTCCAATTTTGTGAGCATTGTTAATATCAGCTTATGTTTAAACTAGAATATTTAAGGAAGGGATTTTTGAAGATAAAACAGAATAGAAAAAATTATAGTAAAGTATACTCAATAATACTGCATAACATGAGATTCTAGTGATTTTATTCATTACCAATCATTTCAAGTATTTAGTCACATAAAGTCTTGAATCTTATGACTAAAAAACGCAATATTTTGAAATGTGCCCATAAAATAAATTTTGTGGAATATGTAAATTTTATGGACTGCTATTCAAAACTTTCTGCAAAAAATTTGTGAAAATTATTATTTTTATTTTTAAGAATAAATTCTGGGTAATTTTAAGAATTAATTTTCTGGGGTGATGGTTAGTGTCAAAAAGGATTTAAAAAATTTAATCAGTAAAGAAATATTAAATATAAATCAAGTTCAGTTAACATTGGAGAATTAAAATTTCGGAGTTCATGCAGGTTTGCATGATCTACTTTTACAAACCCTGATATTTTGGAAAAACTTTGAATGTAAAATCAAGCTATGGAAACCGATCAACCAGTCATTTCAGTAATGTAGTTTTTTTGTGAAAATACTACAGTAATGGTATATTATATATAAATAAATATATAAATGATATATGCATTTTAATTCATCTCGAAGTCATGAAAAATGCAATTTAAATTTTGTCAGCTGGTGAGCTAGAATGAAGTAACTCTTTCTTAGTATTGTTTTCCTTGATGTACACTGTGCAAAAAAAGGGGGGACAGTTCTACATCTCCTGTTCTACTGGGCCGATTAACGAAACTCAACTTGAGTTTCATGTCTCGAAAGCTCAATTTAGGATATGTTTTAGATTTATACATAGCATTGTTCTAATATAGGTATTTTTACACAAAATCGGACTTTTTCTGAAATGACATGCCATTTTTTTTTCCATATTTCAATTCAACAACTCAAATTATGCCATACTACCATGTTTTGTAAAAATTGCATGAGTAGTTTTTAAAAAATTGGCTCTCAAAATTTTAGCTCCTCAGTGTGAATTGAATTTTGTATATATTTATTAATCTCTTTTTCATTAAACTTATTTGATTCTTCCTTTCACATTTCAAAATTTCGGTTCATTCCAAATATAATTAGCATATTTTTATGATTTATTTTTAAAGTATGTATTTTTAAATCATTTTTGTAAATTTTTCGAAAAAAGTTTGAATTATATAAGATTTTTACCATCATCTTAAAGCTGATGAATTTTTAAGCATACCTGCAAAAAACTAGTTTTTTATTCAAAGTTTCCGAAGATATATGTGAATTTATATATTGGCGCATTTTCAAATTTGGCATATTTGTTGAAAGTGATAATAACATCAAATATGGTTTAGGCATTTTGTTAAAATTATTTGAAAGTAGGAACGATGTAACTTTTTTTCCATTTATGCACAATGTAAATAGTGAAAGGAAAATAAGTTGCCATATATTAAGAAGTTCGCGGAGTGAATTATTCTTGGTGCAACTGAAAAATATGTACCAAGATAAATTTTTGAATTTCTCCATAAATTTCGCACCAAATTTTACAAAAATAATATTTAGGCATAATTTGAGTCGTATAATTGATATATGTAAAATTGCCATATCATTTCAGAAAAAGCCCAATTTTTGTGTCAAAATACCTGTATTAGAACAATGCTATATATAAATTTAATTAATATATATCCTAAGTCATGCTTTCGAGACATGAAAAACGCACTTTGAATTTCGTCAATCAGTCCTGTAGAACGGGAGATATAAAACTGCCCCCCCCCACTTTTTTTTTTTTTGCAGTGTACATATTCAATTATTTCATAATTATATAATAATAACACAATTTTTATTTTTATTAATATGAAAATCATTCATGTAATGCATATTCATTTACTTCTAGATCACATTAGGAGGTCACGATCTGCGTTGTTTAAATGTGAATTGGTTAAGATCTAAGATTGGAGTTGTGAGTCAAGAACCTATTTTGTTTAGTGGAACTATTGCAACGAATATAGAATATGGTCATCAAGGTGTTACATTTCCAGACATAGTCGCAGCTGCTAAAATGGCGAATGCTCATGATTTCATAATTCAGCTTCCAAAGGTATATTGTCTTCAGTTTTGCTTTTCAAAGCTTTAGCCTAACTGTTTTGAAAATAATGTATAAGTATATTAACTGTGAAAGTATGTAGGTTGATTAAAAAATATTTAAACTAATATTCTGTTACAGAGAATCAGATGACTGTATGAGTTCTGTAGTTTGTTTTGCAGTAGCCAAGTGGTAAACTCGCTGAACACTGGTAATTTGACCTGGGTTTGATTCCAAGCAAATGGGCTGGCAGCATGGGCACTTTCATGGTTTTGCTTGTGTATAACGTAGAAACAAACCAGTTTCCTTTAGTAAGCCCTCCACAAAGGCATAAGTATATTTGAGTGCTTAAGCATGATCCCATGAACAAATATATGTATATTTTTTTTTAATTTAAATCCTTCACAATTATGCTTTTGATGTTTTATAAATGATTCAAAACATGAGTTAGATAATTTTCTGACATATTAGCATTGTAAGCATGTTTCCTACATAGTTTTTTTTTTTTTAATGCGCAAAAAGCACCTAAATCCAGACTACATAGAAGGTATTTTAGTGTTAACAGGCCAAATTCAGATGCCACAGCAGAAACATGTATTTGAGCATTTTGCAATAGCAAAATTGCTATTTATTCTATCAAGATACACTCTTTTGAAAAAAAAAAAAAAATGGAAGCACTATGAAAGAATTGGTTGTTTTTGATGAAATTGAATATCTGTATAGCTCATACACAGATAATAAAATGATTAAAAATTCAAGGTCATAGTACCTGTTCACTGCTCACAATCACCTATTGAGTGTTCAAATTAGTAGTTGGTTGAACCGGCCCTGGCAGCAATGCATGCTTGAATTTGTCGAGCCAAGGAGTGGTAGTGGTAGAAGTTCCTAATGTCATCCTGTGACACATTCTGCCAGGCATTCATCAGCTGTTGCTCCAGATCGGCAATATTTTGTGGAGCCCAAATCTGGCTGCCTATTATGTCCCAGACATGTTCGATTGGTGAAAGGGCTGGTGACATTGCTGGCCAAGGAAAAGGATCAACCGCACGGAGGCAGTCCAGAGATATGCGAGCGGTATGTGGCTTGGCATTATCTTGTTGGAAAATGGCCCCAGGATGACATGCTATGAAGGGTAATGCAACCGGCCGCAGGATGGTATCAACATATCGTTGAACTGTTAAAGATGTATGGAGCATGACTAAAGATGGCCTGCTGTCATAAGAAAGAGCGCCTCACACCATCACAACACTAGTATGGTTGTATGCCTTTGTAAAACAAAGGCTAATTGGGATTGCTGGCCCCGTCCTCTCCACACACGAACATGGTGTGAAGAATAAAGATAGCAAAATCAGCTTAGCTTTTGTGCACTCAGTAGCAGCAGTTGAGTCTCCGAAACTTTTATTGATGATGATACAAGGGATTTCAGTGGCTTAGTAAAAATACCTGTGTAGCGTAGCGGTATCTTAACTTTAAATTAATAAACCTAAGAATACATCAATGCGAGGGGACTGTAAATTAACTTTTATTCGGCAGTTTGAACTTTCGAGCACAACACAGCACAAAGTAAAGCGACAGAGTTACAATTAGCGGTTTTAAAAATTCAAGAACAAAATGCGAGCTGCGCATACAATCTGCGTCTTGCGAAATAATATCTCACAGACAGGCAGAGAGCTCTGGTGGCCGAAACAATCTGCAATCATTGAATATGTATTGCAATAAGTTATCTAGATTATTTTATTTTCTTCCATTTCCCTTAAAAACTAATTTTCCTTTAAAAAGAAATATTTAACATTAATATGCTTTAGCCTGGTATTCATTTTCCCCTGTTTCATAAGAGCTATTGTGGACTTTGTCTTCAAATATCTTAATGGGTAGTTTTTGAGGTAGACCAAAATCTTTAAGGAGATCTAATATTCATTTGAGTTCTTGAGCAGCAGTGGCTGCAGAAATAAGCTCGGATTCGGTAGATCAGTGGTTTCCAACCTTTTTGTACCGGCGCCCCCCCCTTTTAAAAAAGTTGGTGCGCCCCCCTTTAAAAAACAAATTGTTGCGTCCCGTTAATTTATCTTAAAATCAAATTTCATGAATACTCAACTGATATTATAATTTATTTAATGGGCTACAAAATAATATACAATATTATGTAAAAATATAATATATTTATTATAAGAAATATAATAACAAAACAAAAAAAGAATATATAATTAATACTACTACAACATAAATATTTAATGCGACGGTTGAGCTTGTTTTTCAGCACAAATTTTCTCAAACCGTGGTATCATTGAAGAAATCGCGGTTCTCAGTTCCTTTTCAATCATTAAGCGAGATCGATACTTTGTTTTTAAGACAGCTACTGTAGAAAAACCAGTTTCACATAGGTAAGATGTTACAAATGGCAATACAATTTTTAAAGCTTTGTTTGTCAAAGTCGGAAAATCGTCCTTTACTCGTAGCCAAAACGTAACAATATTATTTTCATCTCGAAACATCTGCTTTAATGTGCTATCACTAGATAAGTCAATTATCATTTCCTGCTCTGCTGTCGTAAGGCCAAAATCATCATATCTTTCAATCACAAATGGGTTTCTAATCCATTCATATTTGGACATGTCAAGATCTTTAAAGTACAACGAGAATTGCTTCCACAGACTGGTCAAATGATTATTAATAAGAACTTTACTTTCTTCTATTTCATCAGCAAGACAGGTAATTTTAAAAGTGGGAAACATGTCAAAGTTATTATTTTTCAAACTTATTATCCACAGTTCCAATTTTTTCATAAATGCAGTAATCTTGTCTTTCTGCGTAAAAGCATGAATTTGAGCCCCTTGCATTGATTTATTTAAAATACTGAGTCTTTGAAAAATATCAACTAAATACGCAAGTTTTACAAGGAATTTCGTGTCATAAAACAAGTGTGCTTCATCTCTATTATTATCACTAAGAAATATGGCGATCTCTTCTTTTAGCTCAAACACCCTTTGAAGTACTTTAGCACGAGAAAGCCAACGTGCCTCACAATAGTATAGAAGTGATCTATATTCTGAACCCATGTCATCACACAATTTTGCGAAAAGCCTTCCTCTTAATGAGCTATTTTTGATAAAATTTACAACTCTTGTAATAACTTCAAATACTGTTGGTAGATCTTCACCCATATCTCTTGAAACAAGTGATTGTTTATGAATCATGCAATGCGTCCAAACTGCACGAGGAGCCACCTTTCGAACTAGTGCCTGTAGACCAGCATTTTTTCCTGCCATAGATGGAGCTCCATCTGTGCATGGTCCAACACAGTTCTCCCATAGAATGCCATTTTCATTAAAAAAATTATCAATGATTTTAAAAACTTCCCTTGTTGTAGTATTGCATTCAATAGGTTTACAGAATAACATATCTTCCCTAACATCAGTTTCCACAACATATCTTACATATGTTATCAAGTGTGCATCCTTAAGAACATCGGTAGCCTCATCTACTTGCAACGCGAAAAAAGATACTTTTACCTTTTTCTATTAATTGATCGCAAAGATCTTCAGATATATCGGATATTCGTCTTCCCACCGTATTATCTGCAAGTGGAATGATTTTAAGTTGATCAGCATATGATTCACCGAGCATCGTTTCTATCATGTCAATAGCTGCAGGTAGCACCAAAGTTTCTCCTATTGAATGGGGTTTTTTGCATTTAGCAATTCTATAAGAAACTTTATATGACGCAAGCAATGCTTTTTGTGTTACAGACATGGTCTCTGAAAACATTTCTTGTTGTTTATTTAAATTCTCTAATTTTCTTTGGAAAAATTCTCTTGTCTTGCCAACGTGATCTGCATATACTTTTTCAAGATGTCGTTTTAATTTATTTGGTTTCATGCTGTCTGAGGCCAAAGTATTCATACACAGCAAACACAATGGTCGTTCTTGGCCATTAATAACCTTATATGTAAATCCTAATGATAAGTACATTGGATCATATTTTCTATATTTAGGTTTACTATTTTGCGAAGATGTATTTCCGATATTTTCATCATCTTTTCTTTTGCCCTCTGCTTCTGCTTCATTTAATTTTCTTTTCAAGCCAGTTACGTATTTATCCATCTAAAAGGGGTATTATTTTAAATCAATGACTTTATATTAATTTAAAATACAATACAATTAGTATCAATATTTTCTTTTAAATTAGATATCAGTCTTAATTAGGATAATTTTTAAATGTAGAATTAAAAAACATTTTTTTGTCAAAATTAATTACTGGAATATACAAACACAACTAAAAAAACTTGCGCTCTTCTTACATAAACGTGAATTTTTCCAATAAAAATATTCATATTACTCAATTAAAACGGTTACTGGTAAATTTGCGAGAAAGTAAAAAAGCGCTAGTAGTGAAAAAATAGTATATTAACATCGGCCAGGATGTTATTTTATTGTTTCGGATGTTTATAACCCTGGCACTTCGCGCTCGTGCCGAAAAACTACCTCAACATTAAATTAACATTTCCAGGTTAATAAAATACTATTATAACAGTTATGAAATTTACCTCAATGTTAATTTATTTAGAAGTTACCAAAGCGAAGTGTTTCATTCTATATATCAACGTGGTTATCGCAAGCACTACTAACGAACTAATTCTGTTCATAGAAAACAGAAACAATCAGATGCTTCTGTTTACTGAAGTTTGGCGCGAGTAAGCACGAGAATACCCGGGATGTTGCGAGTGCTTATCTTTTGATTCCACGCCCCACCGGTGCTCGGCTCCAAACGTGAAAGCGAGATATTTCGTTCCAAGAAGAGTATGGATGGTGTAACAACAAAGTTCAAATGAATAAAGGTAAAAATATCTCTTACCTTTTCGAATCCGGGCGGCGAGTATTCCATCGACATGAAGATCGTCAAAACTGTAAACTAAATTTAAGGCACATCCTTCTATAGAGATTACAATAAAATTATTATTATTATTATATACATATATACAGTCATAATTGATTTACACTTAACATCCATGATAATTAAACGCGCCTTCAGATACAAAGCGGTTCCAATTCTCCTAATGCGTAGCAGTTCGACTGTCTCCTCCTACGCAAATCGAGTTCAAAGTTTTTTACTTAGGAATTAATTCTAAAGTTCGCTAGATGGCGCTGGGAGTTCAGAGTCCAGTTGTAACAGATGGGATGTTTTATCATTTGTACCCGAAAAATTCGCGGCGAGGATTGTGGATTACGTATACTGCTGATTCATTTTTTGACACCTATTCGACTTTTTTGGTATGAAATGATATTTTGGAAACAGCTGCATGCCCCCCTTCAACAGTCTCGCGCCTCCCAGGTTGGAAACCACTGCGGTAGATGATAGGGATATACAATTTTGTCTCTTTGTGGATAAGCTGCGCACGCAGTCGAACATTAGATTGCCACAGAGTATCCCCCCAGTGACATAGTCACGGCACAAAAGGGGTTAGCTGTAAATTTCCAATTTAAGATATGCACATTCAAATAACGGTTATACTTTAAAATTGTACGTACAAAAATAAATACAAATATATGAATAGTAATAATACATTTACAATTCTGATTGGAATATTATATACTCATACAATGCAAAACTTAGTTAAACAGAAATAATGAAAAGTTAATAATCATTTTATGTAACTCTCAATACATATGCAAAAAAAAATTAATCAAATATCTATACACTGTAGCATTTGCAGCAAACCACAAGAGAAAACTTTAATCATATTACAGTAATTAGTTTTTTAGGAAAATGAACACGACGTCCACTTCGGGTAACTAACGTATTTGACGGCATATAAGACGCCCTTTTTTTTCTAAATTTGGTCTCAAAAAAGTTACCTGCGTCTTATACGTGAAGGTAATTGCATACAATAATTGTTTATTTGGCTTTCACGAAACGTGAGAACTAAAAGAAACCACGCTATTGAAACTTTTTTCCTTGTGTGTTGCCGTCTAAATAAGGGTGCGTCTTATATGCCATCAAATACGGTACTTGTTTTGGAACAATTTTTGAGTCTCGCAGACTTCTTTTGAAAACTGAGGAAATACAGGTGAATTTATACATTCTGACAACATATATGCTGGTTTTAAACGATCGACTGTAACTGTAATCTTTTTGTTATTTACCTAAATAATAAAATTTTTATCCATTCGTTTAACCAGGGTATGAGGACCAGTATAAGGTGGTTTAACAGAATCGATATGCAGAAATACATGAGAACAGGTTTGAAGTGCTGGATGTACGTAACTTGGTGATTGAATATGCCTAGAGGTTGGATTAGGTCTAACTAAATGCATGACTGATTGAAGTTGTGACACATAAGATTCAGTAGGCGATACAATATTTGTAGCATTCAGCATATCTCACGGTAATCTAAGTGTAGTACCGTAGACAAGTTCAGCGCAAGTAGCATTTATATCTTTCTTAATGGCAGATCTAATACCCAACAGAACAATAGGCAGAATTTCAGTCCATTTTGGGTTGTTATGAGCCATTATTGAACTTTTAAGTTGCCTATGAAATCCCTCAATCAGTCCATTGAACTGAGGATGATAAGCAGTAATTCTATTGCGATGTGTACCCAAAATTTTCATTAAATCCTTAAATAAGTGAGATTCAAAATTTCGGCCTTGATTAGTTGTGATTGATACCGGGCAGCCAAATCTTGCTATCCAGTTATGCACTAACACTTTACAAGTCGTCTGAGCTGACATGTCGACAGTAGGTATGACTTCTGGCCATCTGGTAAACCTGTCAATAATTGCCATGCAAAAACGGTTACCTTCAGACGGTGGAA